AAGAAGCCTCCACCCACAAACTGGTGGTTGTGTTCTTAGTATGACTTTTGATGGCTAACACAAAATATATGATAAACAACCTTTCCTCTCAACCTCATCATGTAGTATACTCTAGTACAGTAACTAAGGTTAATAACTACACTGAAGCTTTGAACTCAGGTATTCCAGTCATGACTGTTTAAGTTTTCTGTATGTAAACCAAATAACTTGTGGTAGAATAAGCAATAACATTAAATACTAAATACAATTTTCTGTATGTTCATATGTTCAAATACTCTCATTCTAGAACACTGCAACAAGATTAAAATAATACCTGACGCACTTCACATGGAATTTTGTATTTCAAGAAGTTGATTAGACGAGATATATTCTCTAAGACTTAGAGCATAATTCAGGGCAATATAACTTGTAGGCAACATTCTGTTGTGGTTATTGATAAGCCCTCTTGTTTGCATGTTCACAGACTGAAGTCAGGCTTTAAAATTCAAGGAAGTTAAAAATTCCAAACCTTCATGGGTTAAAAGCCTTAACCTAAAAATCAATAATACCAACACATTATGTCTCAATAGCACATAAATGGATTAACTCTCTGAAGTACTAATTACAAGTGACTCACCTTTACACTTTACAAGCTTCTTTGTAGCTTTTTTAAGTATTCTATTTGGGTGCAGATGCTTTTCCCTTTTACTCTTGTCATGGTTTCCTTTACCAGAATTCTTTTGCTTGTCTCGCTTACTTAGCTCTTTCAAGGAACCAACAACCGCTTTCTGTTCTGCCTGTGCAGAAGTATCAAACACATTTTTCCCTAGTCCTCGTCCTTCTGTTTTATTGGTTTTAAGATTTGATTTAGATCCTAAAGTATCCATCACTGAAATAAGAGGCAGTCTCTCCACTTCTACAGGTTTACTTTGCACAAAACTAGAGTTATTTTCAAAATGCATTAAGAGGTGATTCTTAGGTAATTTGTCAAGTCCTTTTCGCATCTCTGGAGGCAGCATTAATGACATGCTGTCACGTAAGGCGTCTGGCATATTGAAGGAACGCAGACACATTTTGAGCCAGCAGGCTGGGCAACGTGCTTTGTAAGAGCACCTGAACTGAGTTCCACGACCTGGTTTCCATTGCTGGCTGCGAACAATAGGCGGTACACTACAAGTGCCTGTAAAAAAGCAAAACTTTGGGTACTTCTAAAACCAGAGCACATGTTTTGTTATACAAGAATAACATGGTATAACATGTTTCAGAATTAATATACTGACAATAACTGTACTGCAAAAACAATAGATGAGTATAAGAGAAGGAAAAATTACAGGTATGTTACAAAATATCCCTATGTCAACTGTACATCGCATTACAAAACCCAATGGTCAATGACAGACTCTTACGGCACATTTACAGCAATCTCTTGCAGTGATAAGTCATAGATCACTATATTACCATAATAAATGCTAATATGTAAAGAGGTATTTTAAGGAAAGCAGGACTCATAATTTTTTCCCAGAATACCTTCTATTATGAGAGACTCATAAAATAATTAACTTTTATTAAGGTTGCATCCATCATCAATGAAACTCCCAAAATGGCCCTTCAGTGTCAAAGGCTATTCATGCCTGATAGAATTCAGGTTCTCCTTTGATGATCCCAGTTATATTATATAAAACTCTACATGTCGGACCGCAAAAACGTCTAACAGATATATTCTTGATAAAACTACACAATGGAATGAATAAAGACAGGACAGTCCTTGAGTGCACCCCCCAAAAAAAGTCCAAAAAAGGACGGCAAGTCATGAGCCCTAGAGAAGAATACTCATTTGTTTTTCTTTGTCACAAAGACATTGTTCACTTTGAGTTTACTGAACAAGGTTGAACAATAAACCACCATTGTTATTTGGAAATACTGATAAAGTTATGAGGCTTTCCATCAGAAAAGACCCAAATTTGGCCTGATGCATGTATCTTGCATCATGACAATGCCACTGCTCATGACCCACTCACTGTCTAGGAGCTTTTAGCAAAAGAGTAAATACTGAAATTGAACCATCCACCACATTCACAAGATTTGGCCCCATGCGACTTTTGGCTATTCCCAAAACTGAAGACCACTTTTGAGGGCCACAGATTTTCAGATATTGCTGACATTCAGGGACATGCAAGAACCATCCTGAAGAACATTCCAGAAGAGGAGTTCCAAATATATTTTGAGCAGTGGAACCACTGACTCACGATGTGTATCGGTGCGCACAGAAACTACTTCAAAGATGACAGTAACCATTAGTGCGCAAGTAATTAAGCACAGCTTTTATGAGGGCATTCTGCGAACTTAACTGTCACACCTTATATTTATGCCTCCTTATAACAACAATAGAAAGTTAAATTCTCAACATTAAAAACAATCTGGTAAATACTGAAGCCTGTCACATGAAAGAAACGAAATGAAATAACTCTCTCTCACTCTCTCCAATGGTGCTACAGCCCAAATCAAGCTCTGACCTACTCAATTTTGCGCCTCCAATCATCCCAGTTCCTGGAGGCTTGTTCCAGTCCAAGGAACTATTCGAGGTTTTGTAACAATAGTGTTTTCCAGGGTGGAAAACCAGGCCTCTGTATTTATGACTCCAGAGACAGGGTGGCCCACCTATAACCCTGGGCACTGTGTGGCTCAGGTACAACAGGGGTGCCACTCCCAGTACCCACTAATGTGGTCCTCTGAGGGGATATGAAGAAGCCTCCACCCACAAACTGGTGGTTGTGTTCTTAGTATGACTTTTGATGGCTAACACAAAATATATGATAAACAACCTTTCCTCTCAACCTCATCATGTAGTATACTCTAGTACAGTAACTAAGGTTAATAACTACACTGAAGCTTTGAACTCAGGTATTCCAGTCATGACTGTTTAAGTTTTCTGTATGTAAACCAAATAACTTGTGGTAGAATAAGCAATAACATTAAATACTAAATACAATTTTCTGTATGTTCATATGTTCAAATACTCTCATTCTAGAACACTGCAACAAGATTAAAATAATACCTGACGCACTTCACATGGAATTTTGTATTTCAAGAAGTTGATTAGACGAGATATATTCTCTAAGACTTAGAGCATAATTCAGGGCAATATAACTTGTAGGCAACATTCTGTTGTGGTTATTGATAAGCCCTCTTGTTTGCATGTTCACAGACTGAAGTCAGGCTTTAAAATTCAAGGAAGTTAAAAATTCCAAACCTTCATGGGTTAAAAGCCTTAACCTAAAAATCAATAATACCAACACATTATGTCTCAATAGCACATAAATGGATTAACTCTCTGAAGTACTAATTACAAGTGACTCACCTTTACACTTTACAAGCTTCTTTGTAGCTTTTTTAAGTATTCTATTTGGGTGCAGATGCTTTTCCCTTTTACTCTTGTCATGGTTTCCTTTACCAGAATTCTTTTGCTTGTCTCGCTTACTTAGCTCTTTCAAGGAACCAACAACCGCTTTCTGTTCTGCCTGTGCAGAAGTATCAAACACATTTTTCCCTAGTCCTCGTCCTTCTGTTTTATTGGTTTTAAGATTTGATTTAGATCCTAAAGTATCCATCACTGAAATAAGAGGCAGTCTCTCCACTTCTACAGGTTTACTTTGCACAAAACTAGAGTTATTTTCAAAATGCATTAAGAGGTGATTCTTAGGTAATTTGTCAAGTCCTTTTCGCATCTCTGGAGGCAGCATTAATGACATGCTGTCACGTAAGGCGTCTGGCATATTGAAGGAACGCAGACACATTTTGAGCCAGCAGGCTGGGCAACGTGCTTTGTAAGAGCACCTGAACTGAGTTCCACGACCTGGTTTCCATTGCTGGCTGCGAACAATAGGCGGTACACTACAAGTGCCTGTAAAAAAGCAAAACTTTGGGTACTTCTAAAACCAGAGCACATGTTTTGTTATACAAGAATAACATGGTATAACATGTTTCAGAATTAATATACTGACAATAACTGTACTGCAAAAACAATAGATGAGTATAAGAGAAGGAAAAATTACAGGTATGTTACAAAATATCCCTATGTCAACTGTACATCGCATTACAAAACCCAATGGTCAATGACAGACTCTTACGGCACATTTACAGCAATCTCTTGCAGTGATAAGTCATAGATCACTATATTACCATAATAAATGCTAATATGTAAAGAGGTATTTTAAGGAAAGCAGGACTCATAATTTTTTCCCAGAATACCTTCTATTATGAGAGACTCATAAAATAATTAACTTTTATTAAGGTTGCATCCATCATCAATGAAACTCCCAAAATGGCCCTTCAGTGTCAAAGGCTATTCATGCCTGATAGAATTCAGGTTCTCCTTTGATGATCCCAGTTATATTATATAAAACTCTACATGTCGGACCGCAAAAACGTCTAACAGATATATTCTTGATAAAACTACACAATGGAATGAATAAAGACAGGACAGTCCTTGAGTGCACCCCCCAAAAAAAGTCCAAAAAAGGACGGCAAGTCATGAGCCCTAGAGAAGAATACTCATTTGTTTTTCTTTGTCACAAAGACATTGTTCACTTTGAGTTTACTGAACAAGGTTGAACAATAAACCACCATTGTTATTTGGAAATACTGATAAAGTTATGAGGCTTTCCATCAGAAAAGACCCAAATTTGGCCTGATGCATGTATCTTGCATCATGACAATGCCACTGCTCATGACCCACTCACTGTCTAGGAGCTTTTAGCAAAAGAGTAAATACTGAAATTGAACCATCCACCACATTCACAAGATTTGGCCCCATGCGACTTTTGGCTATTCCCAAAACTGAAGACCACTTTTGAGGGCCACAGATTTTCAGATATTGCTGACATTCAGGGACATGCAAGAACCATCCTGAAGAACATTCCAGAAGAGGAGTTCCAAATATATTTTGAGCAGTGGAACCACTGACTCACGATGTGTATCGGTGCGCACAGAAACTACTTCAAAGATGACAGTAACCATTAGTGCGCAAGTAATTAAGCACAGCTTTTATGAGGGCATTCTGCGAACTTAACTGTCACACCTTATATTTATGCCTCCTTATAACAACAATAGAAAGTTAAATTCTCAACATTAAAAACAATCTGGTAAATACTGAAGCCTGTCACATGAAAGAAACGAAATGAAATAACTCTCTCTCACTCTCTCCAATGGTGCTACAGCCCAAATCAAGCTCTGACCTACTCAATTTTGCGCCTCCAATCATCCCAGTTCCTGGAGGCTTGTTCCAGTCCAAGGAACTATTCGAGGTTTTGTAACAATAGTGTTTTCCAGGGTGGAAAACCAGGCCTCTGTATTTATGACTCCAGAGACAGGGTGGCCCACCTATAACCCTGGGCACTGTGTGGCTCAGGTACAACAGGGGTGCCACTCCCAGTACCCACTAATGTGGTCCTCTGAGGGGATATGAAATAACTATGCAGTAGACATTCAATGAGCATCATAAATAAAACTGGAAAGATATGATCTGTACTGGAACACAGTTTCCATGTGTTCTTTGTACCTCTTCATTCTAACACTCCTGGCTGAAGTAATTTTTTTTACTGTACCATACAAACTTCACTGTATATTCAATGTAAGCAATGCAACAGATTGCTGACAATGTAAAAACATACATGTTGTAAGATTTGAGGTTTTCACAGCAGTGAGTATGAAGATTTCTGTCTTCTGGGTTATTGCGCGCTTGTTGTTTCATCGCCCTGATGACAGAGGCAGTATGACCTCTGAAACGTTTAACATAGACCAGACTACACAGCGCAACAACCCAGAAGACAGAAATCTTCATACATATTGTGTTTTGAACATATGATAATATTTATTCATAAACCCTTACCTACATAGTCTGAGAACTAGGATTGAACTGCAATCTAATTTACATATTTTCCAATACTATCACTATAATTGCCACTAAAAATGCAGAGACATACATTCTCTTCACTGTTGATTCGTTCGTTTATTGGAAACTGATTGTTGAGAAAACAACACAGATTCAAACACAGCACCTCGAGTTTGTTCCTGTATTACAGACTACACAGTACATACAATCAATATATAGCACTTGACAAATGTAGAAACGTGTCTTAAAATGTTAACTTTAAAGAAAAATTATTCATAAAAAAAATCATGTTTCCTTATTAAACTTTGATTTCTAACTTTACAAATCATGTGCTCTTAATGTCTTCTTTATACAATGTAAACCCCACAACAAATGAAACAATGTGAGTAAGTTATGTGGTAGCGTACCAGACTCTCACACACACATTTTCACGTAACAAAATCCTGTTTAAGTCATATTATTTTTATTGTTTTATGCAGCAGCCATGTTGTTGTTTTTCAATGTACAAAGAACTGTCACAGCAAAGTTTTATATGTTTTGAAGATGTTACCATACATTATTTCAGGACCCTATATTCAAAGTGTCATCCCAGTGTCAGACGTCTGCGTCTGCCATATTGGTATTAATGTTTGAACGAAATTAAAAAAAAGGTATGATTTTAGGGTAGCCCATAATGGCACATCACTCACATCAAGTTTCGTGAAAATCTGCCCAGTGATTTTCAAGTTTAAACATGCATTCTTTTGATACACATCATGTAAAGTTTTCCCATGTGGACTCATTCTCTGGGGTTTTATAACCATAACTTTGTATGCATTTTGAGATCATTAACAACCATCAATTCATTTCCTGGACCTCTTTAATCAACAGATATATATATATATATATATAATTTACATTGTTAACAGCTCACCAAATTACTAAATGATCAATGAATAACGAATAGAAAAGCATGCAGAAAGAAGCAGCCATTCCAGGTACTAGCTTAGAATCTATCTGGACAAATGGAGGAAAATCATGAAAAATTTCAGAGAGGATAGCCAGTCTCTAGGCCAAGTCTCAAACAGAGGCCTCTCAAATATGAAGCTGGAGTGATAAAATATCAACAGAGACATTCAGTAAAATACATGTAAATCTGAATCAACATTCCTTATAACTCCTCACCTGCTCCTTTATGACATTCAAGAACAGGCAAGTTCCCTCCTTTACTGCATGCTTGGCGTTTCATCATCTTTGAGACGAACTTCCGACATGATTCACAGCTGAAGATACCAAACTTGCGGGCTTGTTTAACAAACCTATAGAATCTCACAGCACCACATACTCCACAGACCACTGTCCCTGGCAAAGAGGGATTACCTATAACACAGTAAATATTAATGATTTTCAACTTCAGTGCTTGAGCTCAATTCATCAAGGCCAAGCTTTGAATTTATCCCACCAGAAATTATAAATTTCTGCACATGAAATCTATAACTTGATAAAAAATTAAATAGCTAAATCAAACAATGATTCTGTATGGCTACCTTCCCTTATAAATAAAAGCAGGCTAGTCCAGTGATGGAGACCAGCTCCTTCTAAGGTACCCACAGAGTAGGAACCCCTTTTCCCTCTTATCTTACCTGATGATGGAGACAGATTCAGCCCTCAAAATGTCATATTATGAGAGAGAACATACAATGGATAAGGCCCAAAGAAATTTTAACCAAAACTAGTTTTCTCCAGTTTCAGTTTTTCAGATAGTTATGGGTGTAAACTTCACGGATACATGCAATAACCTTCCGTGCCATAATAAAATGAATTTACTGCTATGCCTAAGCAATATACTATAAATACATACATAAAAAGTATATAAGAAATGAATAATTATGACTATAAAAACTTGTTTTAACTTCAGTAATACTGGTATACAACTGCCAGTGTAAAGCAGAATGCCTTTAAAAAAATGTTCATGCAAAATACAATAAATTAACTGGTTACCATACTGTAAGAATAAAATATAGTTATTTAATTTAGTATTCATTAATAATGCATACCCACCAGAATTTAAATTAACAGAAAATGGACCATCAGCTCCTGGTGATGACTGAGTATTGAGCTTTAGGCGAGCCTTGCGAAGAATAACTTTGCCACTGGTAAGTTTAGGTCCAGTCCACTGAGAGCTGCCCTCTGATTTCATCTCATTATGTGAAGGAGCACCAAGTCTTGCACAATCACTACTGTCTGTTGATCCTGAATACAACTCTTTATCTGAAGCACTGTGAATACTCTTAGTTGAATCAGAACTAGAAACATGGGTTCTCTTTGAAGGAAACCTGTTAGTACCTGCTCCAAACACATTTAATTCACGCAGTTTTAACTGCACCTTGTATGATGGTTTCCATCGACGTTTTCCTTCTACAATAAGTGAATTTTCCTGGGAAGAATTACGTGGGGAAAGACTTCTATTGTTACCATAACTGAAATTGGAATTAGATATACATTCAGTATTTTCACAGCTCACTCCGTCTTTCTTAACCTGTTCAAAAACATTCTTAACAGTTGCTGAAACATCCTTGTCACTCTCTGAAAGTTGTGATAGATTCTTAAGAGGATTTAGGACTAACCTTGGTTTCTTAAGCTGTATTACACTGGGAGACCGGCTAACACTCATATCACTCAGAACTTCCTCTGCCTCAATAAAACGTTTATTAGGTTTAATAACACGTGATGAATGGACACTTCGTGAAGGAAGAACAAATTTTCGAAT